GACAGTCTGGTGCTGGAGGTGCCGTGTGGTGAGGGGCTGCACGGTAGAGACGTTCGGTGAGTAGCTTGTTGAAGGAGGTAGATGTGCAGGAGCATCGTTAGAGAAGATGTTGCCTGTTGCTGGCCTCCTGGTTGAATGAATGCTGGACAGCTCGGAGCTTGCTGGGAGGAGGTGTTGCGTGTTCAGGAAGATGGGGCAGAATGAGAGTTGGTTGGTGAGGAAGCTCAGAGAAGGACAGCTGGTGGGTCGCCATGCTCGCTGGCGGGAGCGAGGACTGCCAGGCAGGCGAGGAGATGCGAGGGCTGCCAGGCAGCGGCGGAGGAGGAAGTGTTGCTTGTTGTAGAAGAATGGTCAGAATGAATTTCAATGGAGAGACAGAGCTTATATACCCAGCAGCAGCTGCTATGAGTCATGTTGGGAAAACCCGAGAAGTCGCCGGTGACTAGTTCCGTTGCTAAGATACGGTAACATCTGGTTGGTTGCTAGGGAAGGCGGTAGCAGGTGGTGGCGTGGCAAGCAGTTGTAAGCAGTTGTAGGGGAGACGTCCACTACAACATGTTCATGCCCCCTCCCCCCCGAAAAAAAGTAGCCACGAATTTTTTGTTTCAATAAATAGTCTTAAATTACAGTTAAATACTTAAGGAATTTGACCAGGTTTCTCATGGTATTAGATGGAGGGTGGCTGGGTAGCAAGGGCGGATCCTGGGTGGTCCTGACCCCTTTTTATCGGAAAATTCCAATACTTTTTCTTTAATGCAGTATTATACCCAGGCATATTTTTAAGTAAAAAGTAATTACTATTGACCTCAGAATATCTCCTAATATCGAGTGCATATGGTTTCAAAATGGCCTGAAAATGACCAGGATATTAGTCCGATTAAAAAAAAAAATATGGGGGACTTACAGCGCACCCCCCTCTTCATTAGTCTGTGTACTTGGTACCAGAAGTACCTGTTCCTTTCTTCTACAGAGACAAAGCTCTCAGAACACTATTTTGTATACAATACTAGTAATATGGCTGAATGCCCATGTGCTGTATACAGGAGAGTCAACATGCCCAGGTGTTGTGTATAGATCACTAAAGTAATTATTGACGAGAAACCAACGGCGGATCCGGGGATTTCGACCCCCCCTCCCTTTCTCCAAAAGTTTTCAATATGTTTTCTTTATGCAGTCTTGTACTCAGGCATTCTTGTATGGTAAAAAGTATGGTAAATATCCGTGCATTGGCTGTTTTCAGGCTTTGGTACAAGAATAGTATTTTTTTACGTTTTTCATTGTTTTACTCAATCTGACCTTCATTTCTTGTGCAAATTAGTGGTTTTTGCAAAGTACAGCTAATTTGCCAACAAATGAGGTCATATTTGAGTAAAACACACCAAAATACACAAAAGAAAACCTATTCTCATCCCAAACGAACCAACCTATCTAACATAACCTACAAGGTGGAGGAGGAAAGGAGGAGACAACTGACTTAAGTGAGGAGTATAACCTCAGGTAAACATGACGGGAACCTGCAGACAGCCATTGGACGAATATTAACCCAAATTATTTACTATTGACTTCGGAATATCTCCTAATATCAAGTGCGCATGGCTTCAAAATGCCCATGATATTGGTCAGATTTAAAAAAATCATCTGGGGGTTTACAGCAACCCCAAACCCCCCAGGTGGGTGAGCTCATTGCGCTCGCCATGTTTCCCCACCTACAACTTGGACCCCCCTTTTGATATTCCTGGATCCGCCCCTAGAAACCCACCGCCGATTTTTCATAGAAAGTCAATTTAAAAATGCTGCAATTTCACGGTGTAATGCGTAGACACTCATAATTTGGGCAAATGGGTTTAAAAAGTTTGTTTTTTCTAAATTAAACATAACCAAACCTTAGTTAATAAGAAACACAAGTAGCCGAAGCATTATTAGAAGACCGCACCAATCTAACCAAAGAAACCTACCTAGCCTTACCTAATTTCCTAGCTGGGAGCACATTACAGTTAGCAGCGGAGGGAGGTAGGGATGCTTGGCCAATCACAGTCCGATACGTCATATGACGTCACTGATAACGCAACAGAGACATGCACTGCGCAACGTTACCGCGCGGCTTGCCCAGGCGGAGGCGGGAGCAGGTGGGAGGGGCGAATCTAAAAATAGCGTCGAGCCGGACACTCTCCGCGTAAAGGGAGTACACGCACCGCTGAATGTAAGCATCCCGGGTTCCGGCAGGGTACCGCGTAAACGTGGAAACGCGGGACCGTGTAAAGTGAGGGTTGACTGTATATGAATGGTAAATAAGTGTTGCTTTCATATTCTTATGTGGAGTACAGGTAGTTCTGCTATAACGCGATAATTGTGTTCTTGTAAAATATCGTGTTATAGAAAATCGCGTAATAGAAATAACAGGGCTTATGGAGAAAATAGGGTTAGGTGCAGATTACTCGAAATCGAAAAAATTTAGTAGTTAGCCTAACACAAAGGATAGCACAGTCTAAATAAATGTTACATTCATATCTAATAATGAAATCATACAGTAAATGTAACACTTTACCTTGAAAAAATATGAATGTAACTTGATGGGGGAGAAGGGTGATTTTGAGGTTGATAACATCGAGCTTCTCTTCAAGTGTTATATCCTTTCTTTTACGATAATCACCGGAAATTCTATCATCAGAACGCTTTTTGGAGATATTCTTCTTTACCATAATCACAGTTAATACCACAAAATTGGAGAAATAGTAAGCAAAAATCGCGTTATAGCAAACAAGCGTTCGCGTTATACAAATATTGTTCCGAATTCATAAATCGCGTTAGAGCAAATTCGCGTTATCAAAACACGCGTTATAGCAGAACTCACTGTAATGACGATATGTTTTCACATGTGCGCACTTATATACGCTACCTCTCTTTTTTTTTCTTTACCGTTATCGTTAGCTACTTCTATTGTTCCATTTATTAACATTAAATAACATTACTTAAAACAACCATATTAATTTTACTACAGCTACAACCAGGGTCTTATTTTTTTCAGTTTTATATGTAGAACCAGTCAGTCACTGGTTTTGTAAACAACGAAAACAAAGCCGTCTCATCTCGTGTGTTTTAATATTCTACGTATTATTAATGAATTGTATTGCTCATTTTGCACACATAAACATTAATTCAATCAAAAAGACATTCAGTAATAAACAATAATGAATCCTTTGTACATAAGAGAAATGACGCTGTTTACACGATTGTGCACGTCTGAACAATGGTGAGCCGTTCAAACCCGTCAAAATTCGAGTTTCCGCCGTCAAAATTTTTAATTGTTTCTTTTTTGTGTGTTCCAATAAAAAATTTTGAATTAAAAACTCGCGAAATTTGAGAAGCTACTGTACGACATTTATGTCTTCAAAGAGACCATGAAGCAGAGAAAGTGGTGCTAGTGTTTCCAAGCGTAAGCACAAGTCACTATCTATCCAGGAAACGGGTGAATTTCCATGGTCTGGCATCGGTCAGGTCCCGAAGTGGCCGGACTAGAGAGGTACAACCTGTACTTTTAACAACCATGTCAACAAAAACTCCTCCTTAGTGTTCATGAAGTGAAGTTTACATGATGAACCTCAAGTAAACTAATTTCATCTTGTGTACGTATTAGGATTTTGTAGTAAAAAAAAAAATTCCGGAGTGGATTTCCGACAAGTCGGAAAAGGCGCGCCTGTGTTTAAATCATGTTATTGAACAATATCTATAAGTTAATTCTTAGGAAACAAAAGTTTTTTAATCTCCACTAACTGTGGGTAATATAACAACTCTTAACATGCAATGTAAGAATCCTTGGTTATGGAAACACTTTTTATTTGAAATAGATTTAATAACTAAACATAACTGTGTACATGTCTTGAGACTATCACACTAGATAATTTATAATTTGGTGTCAAGTAAGTTTCAACGAGTCATAGCAAAAAAAAGAATCCATATAATCATTACAAGCTAATTTATTTACAGCAGATACAGGCTTAAATACAGTCAATGAAAAAGCATTCGGCATGGGGATTCTATAATGCCACACAGTAGCTTCTCATGCTGGCTTATCAAGGTGCACAGGTATTGCTTCACCAAGCTGCAATGTGTTGTACACCTCAAAACATAATACAGTATTATATATAGACAGTGACTTGAAAGTAGAGATATCTGGTAAAAAGATAAATATAATACAGGAAAGTGGTAAAAATTAAAACAGTAAAGATTAGAGATAGAGAGAGATCTGAAAAAAAAAAAAATCTTAATACCCCATCTCTCTGACCTAATCAGTCTAGAGTAAAAGGCTAACTGACTGGTGGCCACCGAGGGGATAAACTAAGCCTGTACCAAGCACAGCTTGGTACGGCATCCCTGCACAGCAAAGGATATGTTTATTAAACTGCTCCCAGGTGGGCCAACAGTGCAGCAGGCACATTGTAATAGTTTTATTTACTATTATTTAAGTAATCTTTCCACAAACAAGAACTCCATCCACTATGATTCGAATGATGTACTAGCTAACTATGTATCTGTATTGCATTTTCCTATTACTTTTAATTGCTACATGTTGTTGATAATTTATTACAAGACACAAGAAAGGCAATACCTGTATAATGAGGGTAGTTTAATCAGTATGATATGTTCCAAGTTAGTCTGTAAACACACATATGTCACTTCTGTGTATGTACTAATATTTTGCCAATGATGTTCATGCTGGGACCACCACAGATAATATTAAAGGGCAGCAGTATCTGCTAAGTTATATTGTTATAATGATGCATGTAAACAAAATAAAACAATTAGTTAGAAATTCAGTACTTCATAAATCAACATGACAGTTTATACCTGGTAAATATACTGGCATCATTTATACAAGTATATAAAAAAAAAAAAAAAATTATATATATATATATATATATATATATATATATATATATATATATATATATATATATATATATATATATATATATATATATATATATATATATATATATATATATATATATATATATTCTAACTATAGATACTTTGGCAGTATTTTGTGGATGGAGAACTACTGTAAGTGGTATTAGCAGATGTAAATTCATCCCAGAGCATGTTCAGTGACAGAGATACAGAGCGATTCCAGGCGGTCTGTGATATCATTATCCGCTGGATCAGGAGATGATGGAGGAGCTCCCAAGTGAGAGTATGATGTTGCAGGAGAAAAGTGAGGTTCCAGTACCGTTCCTGAAGCCCCTGAGATCCGCAGTTCCCCACAGCCATTGCTCCCTGGAGCAAGGGATGAAGAGGTGGAAGGAGCAGGTACAGGACGAGCATGACCAGTCAGTGGCAATTGGTGGGGACGGGATGGTGCTGATCTCGTTCGCTGTAAAGTGATGTGAGGTCTCAACTGTGAATGAAATAAAATTTGTAAATAGATAAAGATTTTCAGCACATTAGAAAGAAAAACTTTTCATGTAAGTACAGTATACAGTACAGTATATAATACAAGTTGGCCTTGGGACCAGGACCATGCTGGATGTTAGAAATTACTATTAAATAGAAACTTACTAAGCCTAAGTTACAGTTTGCTAATGTCCATAATGTTATGGACTTCTTTGTAAAGTTTATATTTTAGGAATTGAATAAATAATCAAATACAGTAAGTCCTCGCTTAACGTCGTTTCGGTAATAAGTCGCTAAACTTAAAGAGACCCAAAATTCGTTTAACGTCCTGATGATCTGATACTATGTCGTCACAGACTGCATTTTACGGTGCATCACCCTCTCTCGTGTGTCCGCGCTATCTCTGTGGAACGTCACAGCGTTCCCAAGCGACGCCGAACCAGTCTCTGTTACAACTTTACATCATTTGTGTGTGCTTAAGTGTTTTTGCTCTAAAACTGTACCCTAACCATCCAAAATGGCTTCCAAGCACCCACCAAGTGCTATTGATGCTAGTGTAGTGAAGAGGCAACATAAAACCATTACCCTGACTACGAAAATGGATGTATTAGCCCTTTTTGAAAAAGGGGAACGTGCTGTGGACATAGCCGCTGTGCTTGGTCTAACCACCACAACGGTGCATACTATCCAGACCAATGCTAAAAAGATTAAGGAATTTACACTGTTTGCCCTAAAGTAAAATGGGATGGAAACCATTACTCCTTTAGTGTAAATGATGCCTGCTGCTCCAAGCAAACTAGGCAGTTGTTATTTCAGCAATGATACTTAATAGTGCCTTTGTAATTTTAAGCACATTATTGCTTAATTAATTTCATGTGTTATTTTTGTGACCATTATTGTGGTGTACTTCTATGCTGATTTTGTTGCTTTAATTAAGGTATTACTCAAAGTTAAATACTGTATAATAAATGATTTGGGGGTGCCATAGTAAGTGTTAGGTGCTGCACCTAATTTTTTCTTTATTATTTTAAGCATGATTTCATGAACTAAATCTGCTTGATGCTAGACCTATAAGAATACTACTTTCATTGTTCTAGGTATTTTATGGGGGAAAAAAATACTTTTAATTTGTGCTATGGGTATAGGCAGCCCTTATGCTACAACTTCTAGCTTGCTACCCTGGATGCAATAGTGAAAAAATTTTCTTGAAGACTATTTCAAATCTAATTACTAAATACACATAAAGAGAACGAAGTGATGTAGGATGTAACTTACCTCGGATGGTGTCTCTTGAAGTGAGGGTCGTTTGGCAAGGAACTGTTGTGGAGATAACAACCCTCCTACACCAAGTGAGGGCAGGCCGGGTAAACTATTACGCTGACTCATGAGCCCACCCAGACTAGCAGCTGCAGCATGTTGTAATGGGAAGAGTGGATGTGGCTGAGGTGCAGGGAAACCCTTGCCCCCTACAAGAAGTCCTGCAGGTATGTGAGTATGACGCTGTCCACTGACCCGAGGAACCCTGAAGGACCCACTAAGGAATCCATCACCACTGTACTGCTGACTCCACCTTATGGGAGGAAAGATAATATACTTTAGATCTTAAACACATTTCGTTATTCATTTACAGGTTTTTAATTTGTTTAGGATCAAGATGACAAAATAATACTGTACAGAAAATAAAACTACACTATACTCTCAATTTAACGGAATCCAATATAACAAATTAAAGATTTAGTGGAAGGCATTTTTTTTGCTTGATTTATTGAACTAGTTCGCTAAATTGAGATTAATTCCGTTAATACACGTACACCTACGGAGAAACCTCAGACACATGATACAGTAAAACCTACTTCAGCCTATGGCAAATGTAATAAATGGATAAAAATTATAAATAATGATCTGAGAAAATCACTCCCAATATCTGTTCCAGACCTGGGAACAAAGGTTCCCAGAGTTATGAAAGATTGCACCATGTTTAGCCACATCCTCACATGGTTGGTGAGTGAGGTGACATGCCAAGACACTTACACAGCACACACATTAACAGCACTTATAATATTTGACTTTATAGTTTCTATTTTAAAATAAATCGATACCTGTACATAATGGTTCAATTTGGCTACCTTTGCACTCAGACAACTGATCAGTAAATAATCCAGGACATATGGAGACGCATTATACACTAGTGATGTCAAATGTACCAAAGTTAATTACTAAAAAAAATGTCTAGTGCAAACTATGGAATGTTTATACTCAAATTAATCGCCATCTTGCAAGAATTCCAACAATGCAAGTTATATTCTGCTAAGTCAAGTTGGTGACATTTTATAAGCAAAGAACTTACTCCTTGTCTTTTATAATTCCAAGTCCCTCCTGACTGTTCCACTAATAACTATGCGCCCCCCTCCTCCCAGCCAGCAGTGGAGGCAGATGGTGGTGGGTGATAACGATAAATGGGATGAAGGTGATTATAGGCTTAAAGTTTTTATCTTATAAAATGTCAGACCCGACTTAGCAGAATAAAACTTACATTGCTGGAATCCTTGCAAAATAGCAATTAATTTGAGTATAAACATCTCATAGTTTCCACAAGGGATAAAAAGTTTAGTCCTTTAGCTTAATACATTTGACTACAAAGTGAGTGCAGTAATATGTTGCTCAAAATTATGGCTTTTTCACAGGAAAAAGTCTGTATAACTAAGCCCAGTGGGCAGGATATTATAGCATTGAATGTTACAGAGTATTTCAAATAAATCCTGGTGGTGGAGGAGGGATAGAGACCCTTAGTGGGAGAAACCAACCACTCACCCCCCACCCCTGCCTCTGTCATTCTTACTGTAACTTGACGAAATATTGTTTATTAATTACAGTAAGATCTCATATTTCGCGTGATTTCATTTCGCATTTTTTAATTTCGCGAGCACCACCTATGCAACCAAATCTTATATTTGGCGTAAAATATCGTGAATTTCGCGAGATCCAGCCAGCTGAATGCTGGCCACTGTCTTGAATGACATGACAGCCCTCATACCAGTTACAGTCATTTCTGCTACAACGCGTGTTTTGTCAACGTGAATTGGTTGCAAGTTTGCAACGCGACTGATGAATACGGGAACACTGTTTGTAAAACGCGAACTTTTGCATTCGAATGTTGGCTATAGCGCGATTCCATTCTCAATGTTTTGATTCCATCCTCAACATTTTAAGCATGGCGCAGGTTTATGCAATGTTTACAGTTCACTTTCGACATCACATGTTCAATTGATTCATGTCTTTTGTTTGTTAAGTGTTTTTTTTGAGAGGTACTCTAAATTTAGTTGGTTTTTTTTTTTTTTTAATTTAGCTGTTACCCATAAATACTGTATGAAAAGAATAAGTAAAAAGAATGTTTCACAGTGAGGACTAATAACTGTTTACATCACGTGATTAGTTAAATAGTGGTTTCTGTCAATTACTCCGTGATTTTCGCTATTTTCTCCAAATTTGTTGTGTTAGCGATGAATACGGAAAGACAAGGTAAGAAGAATGTTTCCAAGAAGCGTTCTGGTGATTAAATTGCAGGTGGTGAACGTAAAAGAGGTTTACAAGAACGCAACTATCGCGTTGTAGCCCACGCCATCCTAGCGACTGTCCGGGCTGTTATTGTATGCTTTTTTTGGGTGGTGCTACCACCTGTTGAGTCAAGATAATAGCTTCTACCTCTACTGGGGGTCCTGCTGGTGGGGGTGGGACAGACCTACCTAAGCAGCCAAATAAGGAAAAGGAGAAGCGGGACTATCATAAGGGAGTTCAGTTTGCCAAGTACTTGATGCAGGAGAGTTCTGGGTTTGAGGGACTCCAGCTAACTGAGATATTACTGTATTTAATATTTTATATTGTCATGACAATACAGACACCATAGGAGGTTGATCATACAAGAATACTGTATAAAATAATAAATGTTGGAGGGTGTGGGCATGTGATATTGAGGTGTATTCCTGACACACACACACTATTGTACTACTTTGCCGTCACTCGGAATTGAGTATGACAATCATCCAGCCATGATACAATGATATGAGTTATTGAGGATGTCACCTAGGTTGGGTGAGCTTTAAGATGGCTAAAGAGGCCGATACAGGACCTGCAGGGTCGTCCACTGATGTTACACATGTGGATGGCTCGATCTAAAGCAGGAGGGGCGGCGGCAGCGTCTTTAAGGCACCAGCGTTTGTCTGCCTCGGTTTGCAGTTGGGTTAATTTGAAGGTATTGACACCTTCTCTTGTGGTAATCCTCCAAGCATTAAGGTGTGGAGTGATCGTCTCCCAGGTGAGGGGGGTTAATTTGGCACTTTTTCAGGTTTGTCCAAGACTATCCTAATACCTTTTCAGTTGCCCGCCAGAGTTACATTTACTATTCGTTAGTTGACTGTAAAGTAGCTGCTTTGGCAGTCTACTGTCAACCATGCGGGTAAAATGGCCAGTCCAGCTTATTTGTTCATGTATAATGGTAGCCTTGATGCTCCTACAGTTGGTGTCAGCAAGAATACTGGCATTTGTTCTCTTGTCTTCCCAGCAAACTCGGAGGATGGAACATAGACTATGCTGGTGAAAGTTTCAAGTGCCATGTCTCACTGCCATATAGCAGGGTGGGGAGGACCACTGCTAGATATATGCAAATCTGATTCGATGCTGAATCTCTTCATCGATGTTCACAGTGGTGGACAGGTGGGAGCCGAGATACTGAAAGTGGGTAACATTAGAGCTGGATGGATGGAGGAGGTGTGGCTGAACCAGGGACTGGCTGAAAGAGAATCTGAGTCTTACGCACATTCACCTCAAGGCCGAAGTGCGCATACGCATTTGAATAGGTGTTCAGGATCTCCTGTAGGGTGCGAACCGTTCAGTGTGAGCGACAAGGCTAAGGTCGTCTGCATACTAAAGTTCAGTAATGGAAGCTGCCGAGAAACACACACACACATGCCATCCCTCAGTGACCTCCACCACCAAGCACTAGCAAGGTTTGGCAGAGGACTACTGCACCACCCTCGTCATTGCCACCTCCTGCCACCGGCAGTCCCCCCCCCCACCTCGCACAGTCCACCACTACAACAAAATTCAGCCCAAAAGAGCCCGCACCGATATATATAAGAACAGCACCATCCCATCTATTGTTAAAATAATAAACAACAACTGATTTATGTACTGTACAGCCCTGTAAATGTATTCAACACATATCATTATGTCTAAATGAAATGTAAGTTTGTATATTTTCAGCCACAGGCTGCAACTCTATTAATAAACCGTTTATTATTATTATTATTATTATTATTATTATTATTATTATTATTATTATTATTATTATTATTATTACACGCAGAAGAATTAAGACCACATGCATCACCCACTTCTTTTTGTTTTTTTCACTCCATATTTTAAAACGTTAGGTAACGTAATGTAGAAGGGATACAACTTTGCTCATTCATTTACTGTATTTATGTTTTACGGGGATGAGCCCACCCAGGCACAGGTCACTGACCCACATCTGGGCCTGGGGGGGGGGAGGAGGATGTAGTAATAATAATAATAATAATTCATACAGTGGTAAATAGAATTTATAATTAAAAATACAAAATTAAAAATAGAATAATAAAAAAATAATAACACTAATAATAATAAAGAACCATAAAGAAATAAAAAAATAAAAAATAAAAGATCAAAAGATCCTTATACTTAACACAATCTCTCTAAAAATACTTTAGCTATTGTATTTATTCAAGACATCTTCAGGTCACGAGTCCCACTAATCCCCCACCTCAGAAAGGGTGACCTGACGTCCCATCAATAGGTCAGTAATATGAGACCACTAATACCCCATCCTACCTCCACCTGACATTGCATCAGGTCAGGTCAGGTCTCTCCCTAAAATAATTTAGCTATTATCTTTATTCAAAACATCTTCAGGTCATGAGACCCACTAATCTCCCACCCAAGAAAGGGTGATCTGACATTCCACCCCTCTATTAAACAACAGTTACTACATTCCTAACTTGATCCTCAATATTAGGATAAAGTAGTACAGTATCTTGCATTATTCCCACTGGTACCAAAATGCCACAAATTAAGCCAAGATAATACTACTAGGCATGTTATAAGTTATCAATTAAGATTCTAAGTTAACATTCAATTAGTCAATAAACATTACAAATTCAGCAAGATTTTTTTCAGGGTAGTGTAAGCAACTAGTGGGTCTCTGAAATAAACATAATTCCAACTGATGAACAAATGAAATTGGAAGAACATTCCTGCAAGTATTTGCAGTATGACAGCCAATGCGATACTTTTCTACATATGGAAATAAAGTCATATTTTTTTTTTATGCTATAACACTCATTTTCCTGAAAGGAATTTTAAAATAAAAGCCCCAAAATTAACCCTGAAGCCCCGGGTTAGGGAGCTGCTGGTAGTACCCCCCGCGGAAATCAATTGAGAAAAAAATTCAACTTTTCAAAAAAAAAAAAAAATGGTGGGAAAATAGGCGGACATTCTGGCACGTCACTCGGGGTGCGCTAGTCGACCGTTCTGGAA